CCATGTATATTAGCTTGTCACAAGAAGGTCCTGCACAGTAGACTAACGTCAGTACCATGTATATTAGCTTGTCACAAGAAGGTCCTGCACAGTAGACTAACGTCAGTATCATGTATATTAGCTTGTCACAAGAAGGTCCTGCACAGTAGACTAACGTCAGTACCATGTATATTAGCTTGTCACAAGAAGGTCCTGCACAGTAGACTAACGTCAGTACCATGTATATTAGCTTGTCACAAGAAGGTCCAGCACAGTAGACTAACGTCAGTACCATGTATATTAGCTTGTCACAAGAAGGTCCTGCACAGTAGACTAACGTCAGTATCATGTATATTAGCTTGTCACAAGAAGGTCCTGCACAGTAGACTAACGTCAGTATCATGTATATTAGCTTGTCACAAGAAGGTCCTGCACAGTAGACTAACGTCAGTATCATGTATATTAGCTTGTCACAAGAAGGTCCAGCACAGTAGACTAACGTCAGTACCATGTATATTAGCTTGTCACAAGAAGGTCCTGCACAGTAGACTAACGTCAGTATCATGTATATTAGCTTGTCACAAGAAGGTCCTGCACAGTAGACTAACGTCAGTATCATGTATATTAGCTTGTCACAGGTGAAGGTCCATGTATATTAGCACAGTAGACTAACGTCAGTATCATGTATATTAGCTTGTCACAAGAAGGTCCTGCACAGTAGACTAACGTCAGTACCATGTATATTAGCTTGTCACAAGAAGGTCCTGCACAGTAGACTAACGTCAGTATCATGTATATTAGCTTGTCACAAGAAGGTCCAGCACAGTAGACTAACGTCAGTATCATGTATATTAGCTTGTCACAAGAAGGTGCACAGTAGACTAACGTCAGTATCATGTATATTAGCTTGTCACAAGAAGGTCCTGCACAGTAGACTAACGTCAGTATCATGTATATTAGCTTGTCACAAGAAGGTCCTGCACAGTAGACTAACGTCAGTATCATGTATATTAGCTTGTCACAAGAAGGTCCTGCACAGTAGACTAACGTCAGTATCATGTATATTAGCTTGTCACAAGAAGGTCCTGCACAGTAGACTAACGTCAGTACCATGTATATTAGCTTGTCACAAGAAGGTCCTGCACAGTAGACTAACGTCAGTACCATGTATATTAGCTTGTCACAAGAAGGTCCTGCACAGTAGACTAACGTCAGTACCATGTATATTAGCTTGTCACAAGAAGGTCCTGCACAGTAGACTAACGTCAGTATCATGTATATTAGCTTGTCACAAGAAGGTCCAGCACAGTAGACTAACGTCAGTATCATGTATATTAGCTTGTCACATGAAGGTCCTGCACAGTAGACTAACGTCAGTATCATGTATATTAGCTTGTCACAAGAAGGTCCTGCACAGTAGACTAACGTCAGTATCATGTATATTAGCTTGTCACAAGAAGGTCCTGCACAGTAGACTAACGTCAGTACCATGTATATTAGCTTGTCACAAGAAGGTCCTGCACAGTAGACTAACGTCAGTATCATGTATATTAGCTTGTCACAAGAAGGTCCTGCACAGTAGACTAACGTCAGTATCATGTATATTAGCTTGTCACAAGAAGGTCCTGCAGCACAGTAGACTAACGTCAGTATCATGTATATTAGCTTGTCACAAGAAGGTCCTGCACAGTAGACTAACGTCAGTACCATGTATATTAGCTTGTCACAAGAAGGTCCTGCACAGTAGACTAACGTCAGTATCATGTATATTAGCTTGTCACAAGAAGGTCCTGCACAGTAGACTAACGTCAGTATCATGTATATTAGCTTGTCACAAGAAGGTCCTGCACAGTAGACTAACGTCAGTACCATGTATATTAGCTTGTCACAAGAAGGTCCTGCACAGTAGACTAACGTCAGTATCATGTATATTAGCTTGTCACAAGAAGGTCCTGCACAGTAGACTAACGTCAGTATCATGTATATTAGCTTGTCACAAGAAGGTCCTGCACAGTAGACTAACGTCAGTACCATGTATATTAGCTTGTCACAAGAAGGTCCTGCACAGTAGACTAACGTCAGTACCATGTATATTAGTATCATGTATATTAGCTTGTCACAAGAAGGTCCAGCACAGTAGACTAACGTCAGTACCATGTATATTAGCTTGTCACAAGAAGGTCCTGCACAGTAGACTAACGTCAGTACCATGTATATTAGCTTGTCACAAGAAGGTCCTGCACAGTAGACTAACGTCAGTACCATGTATATTAGCTTGTCACAAGAAGGTCCTGCACAGTAGACTAACGTCAGTATCATGTATATTAGCTTGTCACAAGAAGGTCCAGCACAGTAGACTAACGTCAGTATCATGTATATTAGCTTGTCACCAGAAGGTCCTGCACAGTAGACTAACGTCAGTATCATGTATATTAGCTTGTCACAAGAAGGTCCAGCACAGTAGACTAACGTCAGTATCATGTATATTAGCTTGTCACAAGAAGGTCCTGCACAGTAGACTAACGTCAGTACCATGTATATTAGCTTGTCACAAGAAGGTCCTGCACAGTAGACTAACGTCAGTACCATGTATATTAGCTTGTCACAAGAAGGTCCTGCACAGTAGACTAACGTCAGTACCATGTATATTAGCTTGTCACAAGAAGGTCCTGCACAGTAGACTAACGTCAGTATCATGTATATTAGCTTGTCACATGAAGGTCCTGCACAGTAGACTAACGTCAGTACCATGTATATTAGCTTGTCACAAGAAGGTCCAGCACAGTAGACTAACGTCAGTACCATGTATATTAGCTTGTCACAAGAAGGTCCTGCACAGTAGACTAACGTCAGTATCATGTATATTAGCTTGTCACAAGAAGGTCCTGCACAGTAGACTAACGTCAGTATCATGTATATTAGCTTGTCACATGAAGGTCCAGCACAGTAGACTAACGTCAGTATCATGTATATTAGCTTGTCACAAGAAGGTCCAGCACAGTAGACTAACGTCAGTACCATGTATATTAGCTTGTCACAAGAAGGTCCTGCACAGTAGACTAACGTCAGTATCATGTATATTAGCTTGTCACAAGAAGGTCCTGCACAGTAGACTAACGTCAGTATCATGTATATTAGCTTGTCACATAGAAGGTCCTGCACAGTAGACTAACGTCAGTATCATGTATATTAGCTTGTCACAAGAAGGTCCTGCACAGTAGACTAACGTCAGTATCATGTATATTAGCTTGTCACAAGAAGGTCCTGCACAGTAGACTAACGTCAGTACCATGTATATTAGCTTGTCACAAGAAGGTCCAGCACAGTAGACTAACGTCAGTATCATGTATATTAGCTTGTCACAAGAAGGTCCTGCACAGTAGACTAACGTCAGTATCATGTATATTAGCTTGTCACAAGAAGGTCCTGCACAGTAGACTAACGTCAGTACCATGTATATTAGCTTGTCACAAGAAGGTCCTGCACAGTAGACTAACGTCAGTATCATGTATATTAGCTTGTCACAAGAAGGTCCAGCACAGTAGACTAACGTCAGTATCATGTATATTAGCTTGTCACAAGAAGGTCCTGCACAGTAGACTAACGTCAGTATCATGTATATTAGCTTGTCACAAGAAGGTCCTGCACAGTAGACTAACGTCAGTATCATGTATATTAGCTTGTCACAAGAAGGTCCTGCACAGTAGACTAACGTCAGTACCATGTATATTAGCTTGTCACAAGAAGGTCCAGCACAGTAGACTAACGTCAGTATCATGTATATTAGCTTGTCACAAGAAGGTCCTGCACAGTAGACTAACGTCAGTACCATGTATATTAGCTTGTCACAAGAAGGTCCTGCACAGTAGACTAACGTCAGTATCATGTATATTAGCTTGTCACAAGAAGGTCCTGCACAGTAGACTAACGTCAGTATCATGTATATTAGCTTGTCACAAGAAGGTCCTGCACAGTAGACTAACGTCAGTACCATGTATATTAGCTTGTCACAAGAAGGTCCAGCACAGTAGACTAACGTCAGTACCATGTATATTAGCTTGTCACAAGAAGGTCCTGCACAGTAGACTAACGTCAGTATCATGTATATTAGCTTGTCACAAGAAGGTCCTGCACAGTAGACTAACGTCAGTATCATGTATATTAGCTTGTCACAAGAAGGTCCTGCACAGTAGACTAACGTCAGTACCATGTATATTAGCTTGTCACAAGAAGGTCCTGCACAGTAGACTAACGTCAGTACCATGTATATTAGCTTGTCACAAGAAGGTCCTGCACAGTAGACTAACGTCAGTATCATGTATATTAGCTTGTCACAAGAAGGTCCTGCACAGTAGACTAACGTCATGTATATTAGCTTGTCACAGTGCACAGTACCATGTATATTAGCTTGTCACAAGAAGGTCCTGCACAGTAGACTAACGTCAGTACCATGTATGCACAGTAGCTTGTCATCATGTATATTAGCTTGTCCTGCACAGTTCAAGTGATAACGTGATGGATACCTGACCATGCCGTACTTGGTGAATAGGGCCGATATTTAATGAGTTAGGGAGCATCATAGAGTTACACGTCACGCAACAAACTCAGCTGTATCTGTTTCCAGTCTATGTACATTCTCCTTATATAGGAACTACCTACCAGGTATGATATCTGAACCATCTGGGATTTAGGTGCCTTGTCACCCGGTATGGCCTGTCCATGTCAGGGGATTCTCTCAACCCTCGTGGGAGAAGTACAATGTGTTGGTCATGTGACCCGAGGTTGTGCTTAAGGTGCCTTGTCAGAGAACACTGGTGTGACTCCATCTCAGCCAGTGCGCTGCTCCGTGGCCAGGTTAAACCAGCCAGCCAGAATTCTTTGTTCAACAGCGTTAATAGCAATACGGTTGACTGCCACGTATATGCTGTATTTGTATATTGTGTGCAGGGAAACCACTCCTTTACCTTGATGTAATGATATAGATACAGTGCATATTTAATTGCCAATATCTTATATTTCAGGGACAGGTACAACTGTGGAGAGGTTGCTGCTTCTAGTGGCTGTCAGGGGGACTCTGTTGTGAAATGTTCCCCCTTCCTTTGTAGACAAATGATATCATTTCTATCACCGGGGTATATATTAAAGGTGTCGTTGTTTGTCCGGGGCTTATATGTGATGAAGCATATTATAGGGCCATAGTCTAAAACATACCATCTACGTAGAGCATGCATTCGTATATGTAATGACACTCACATCTATGTAGATGATACTCTCTTAGACTGCGTAAAACATAGATACGTAGAAGATATAGATGATACATTCGCCAACGTACATTTTACTTCCATATCCATATGTGATATTAGTACCGTGCCTGTCCTTACTGAGACCGTTGTGTTGTGTTGTTAGTTTAAACATGCGGTGGAAATAGTGTATACAGATATATAATTTATATTTGGCAGCATGTTAGTCGTATAGTTTCGTCCTTTCTGTATTTTATTTTCGCAGCTAAAACGATTTCGAGGTAAAATAAAAAACAAACCGTATATTGGTAAGAGTTCCTCCCGTTCCCCCATCCCAAATAATAGTTATGAATTAATATATGCTAAAATTATTAACAAAACTGAACACAACAATTACTAGAGAACTCACACAAATGACTAAAAGTCCAAACTTTAAGTTAGGGTTAGGGTTAGGGTTAGGTTTATAGTTAGGTTTATAGTTAGGTTTAAAGTTGGGGGAACGGAAGGAACTCTTTCCACCTACTGAACTGCCTATTTAGCCCCTTTGGCCTATTATTGCCCCTTTGGCCCATATCAACATATGGCCGAACGAGCTATAATAGGCCGTTTCCGCAACCTGTTGAAGTTATTGCTGAATATTTAGTGTGAATATGCACTTACTCTGTGCTCTGTGACGTGGTGACTTGATTGACAAAGTAAACCAGCACTAATGTATCACTGCTCATCAATCCTACTTTCTTAGCTACCTGTTCATTTATATACCCTGCAACCATTAACTTCATCAAGAGTCTGCAACTATCATACGGATAACCCAGAAAAGATCTCTATGTTCATCAAATATCATCTTCTAAAATGCCAATCAAGCAACTATCACACGGATATCAACTATATATAGCATACACAACAGTAATCATTAGCATTTGTCAATCAACTAAAGGTACTACTTACTCCAAGAGTCGGAATTATCCACTTTTGAACGTCCTTTATCTTGACACAAAACACACTGATAATTACTTACTGCGCACAAGATGCGCCCTGCTAAGTTAGTGCTAACAACCGTCTCGCGTGTTAATGCTCAACCGTGCTCGTGCAGCACGGGTGTCCGCGATATAACATGATTCCGAATGTTTTGGTAATTGTTGTCCTCATCATAAATTCTTTTCAAGATATATTAGATAGCACTACGCCATCATCACCACTTATTAATTTACACCATGCATTCTCTCTGCATGTTTTATTTTGTTTTGATTTTACTTTACTCGTTATAACTTCGAAAATGACCAAATGACCACACAGAAGGCAGAAGTAGTTTTCTTCCATCTTTTCATACAAAATAAGGTATTGTTTGTTTTCACAAGTGATACCTACGTACAAATTACATCAAAATGGATGTATATTCTGCTAGTTACATGTGTGTATGACTCAATCCTCTGTTCCTCTGTCGACTCGAAGATAAATTTTCCTTTAATTGTTTTAGTGAAACCAACCACAATTTTGTATCAACTATTTTTGATGTCCATTGATGTAAGTCAGCATCCCCAAGCGGTGGGTTTGTTTTATCTACACGTCCAAGTCAAATCTGCCTGTAACTTTCAAAACGCATGTCTACTGTGCACCAAGCTTTGCATTTACAATAGACAAGTGTCAATACTTATCACTGTCTTACTACTCAGCGATGTACATCCTAATCCTAAACCATGAATGATAATTTGACCTTATTGAGTAGATGGGCGAAGGAATGGCTGATTAAATATAATCCTGACAAAACTGAAACTATTCTTTACAAGACAGTGACCAACCTATTAAACTATATTTTGATGGAGTTAGTATAGGTTGATTTTCACAAACACCTGGGGTTAACTTTTTCTTCAAATGGTAGTTGGTCATGTCACATCGGAAATATTGTGGAAAAAACCTCTAAAGTGATCGGTGCCTTAAGAAAATTTAAATATATATTGAACAGGAAAACGTTATCAAGAATTTATACAGTGTCTATAAGGCCACATTTTGAATATGCGAGTGAGGTATGGGATGGGTGTCTGATTGAAGATTCAAACAAGTTAGAAAGACTACAGCTTGCGGCAGCTCGTATAGTAACTGGCCGACCCAAATACACGCCGAGTAGAGTTCTTTATTACGAGACTGGATGGGAATTGCCATCAGAGAGAAGAAAGAAGCGTAAATTAAACTTGTTTTATAAGATTAAACATGACATCGCCCCGTCTTTTTTAAACGAATTGTTACCACCTGTTGTAGAAAAAAGAACTCATTATAACTTACTTAATGCTGAGAATTATACTGTACCCAATACAAGACTAAAATATTCAATAACTTCATTTATTCCGTCAACCATAAAAGCCTTGAACAATCTCCCGTCAACTGTAAGAAACTGTGACTCCATTTCCTCATTTAGAAGAAACATTACAACAATGAGTAATAGTGCCCCATCATCCTTTTCATCTGGTATACGTAATCTAAATATTTTACACACAAAGTTAAGATACAATGTAAGTACGCTCAACTATGATTTGTATAGAATCAACATTATAACCGATCCATCCTGTTCTTGTGGATGTCTCTGTGAACATGTATATCATTATTTCTTGGATTGTCCCCGTTATAAAACACATAGAGAAACTTTGTTAGCTAACATAGGTGATATTTTACAAAACAGATATTCACTAGATATATGTCTTATTTTATATGGCAATGCAGACCTCTCAACTGAAGAAAATCTGAATATCTTCAAACATGTCCATCACTACATCAATCAAACTAAACGATTCCTCTGTTCTTCCTAATCTGTTATATTCTCAAACTCAAGATCTCTCATGTATATGTTCTCTGTATAATTGTTGTAAATATTGAGAGAGGGCGTCATTAAGTTGGATAACTTGTGCCCATGCCTTCTCCTCAATGAATAAAATATGAATCCTAATCCAGGACCTTTAACTAATCAGTTCAAAATTGTTCCCTTGTATATTGCAGCCTTATAGATAAAAACCGATATGCTTGAAGCCTAATGTGAAGATAACGATATTATTTGTATATCAAAAACCTGGCTACATAGCGGTACAACTAATAACGAAGTTACACTTCCAGGATTCAAAATATCCCGTAAAGACAGGACGAGTCGCAGTGGGGTGTTGTAATTTACGTTAAGAGTATTCTTGATGTTGAACATATGCATACATTAGATATAGCAGAACGGGAAGCTATTTGGATAAAACTTAAACTTAAAGAAACAAACTCACATAGTTGGCACAACGTACAGAGCAGATAAAAGTGAAACATTGAGACATGATTAATCAAGCAATAAGAGATGCTGTTGACGAAGTCTGAATACATCTGTTGTAGGCGACTTTAATATGAACATTTTGAAAGATGGTGATTTAAATGTGATCAACTGCAACTTTTGAACGGTCTTTCTCAAGTTATTAACGATCCTACCAGGATAACCGTAACCTCGAGTACTTGAATACATCTCTTGTTTCTGCTGCTGACAATGTCCTAGATTCAGGAGTCTTGGATCCTATACGTGGTGACCAGTGTACACTATTTGTTACCATAAATAACAACACTTGTAATGTAAGAAATGTAAAACATACCAAAGATATGACATATGATATAGTTAACAATGTCAATTGGAATTCTCTGCTAATATCTCAGGATGTTTCTAAATTGCAGCGTCTGGTCCGAACGGTTTAATCAACAGATTCTTAAAATGTTATCTAATCAAATAGCCGAACCACTAGTGAGGTTACTGGATATATGTCTTTAAAACATAGTGAGTATCCGAAAGTCTGGACTGACTGACTGAGTTTAGTTTAACGCCGCTTTTAGCAATATTTCAGCAATATCACGGCGAGGAACACCAGAAATGGGCCTCACACATTGTACCCATGTGGGGATTCGAACCCGGGTCTTCGGCGTGACGAGCCAACGCTTTAACCACTAGGCTACCCCACCGCCCCCGAAAGTCTGGAAAGAAGCGACGGTTGTACCAATTCACAAGAAGGGTTGTACGGTTTCACAAGAAGGGTTGTACCAATTGACAAGAAGGGTTGTATTCATGAATGTAGTCATTACAGGCCAGTTGCTTTAACAAGTCATTTGTCTAAAAGTTTTTGAAAAATGCGTCTTCAAATGCTCAGATGTTAGTATCATCTATGTACATGATAAAATGGAATTCAGACTGTGGCCCTAACATGCTTCCTTACTTATAACCCTGACAACTATGGAATACTGAAGGTGATATAATTAATATAAGATAATTAACCGTTACTGGGAACCGGTTCTGTTTTAACTAACTCATTTCAAATTCTCAGTGTGTTTTGATTATAAAATGTCAAAAACTGTCCAGTCCGTTATGCCCTATTCACGTTATAACTGGTTGAAGTTTGTTGTCCTACAGTAATGTTACATGTTGTGTCGATGATGATTTCGTTGTGCCCCTAATGTTGCTGTGTGTTACCCATGCATTCAGGAAATAAACCTTGGACTAGATACCATTGTTCAGTTGTAGATGTGGACGCTCTGAAATCTGTTCTGTCCTGTTAAAATAAGGTAGGCATAAACTGACCAGTATATCCTATTCACGAGTGACTAGTGGGTCAACACGGGGCACATTAACTGACCCAGTATTTCCTATTCACGAGTGACTAGTGGGTCAACATGGGGCACATTAACTGACCCAGTATTTCCTATTCACGAGTGACTAGTGGGTCAACACTGGGCACATTAACTGACCCAGTATTTCCTATTCACGAAACACTAGTGGGTAAACACGGGGCACATTATAACTGTCCCAGTATATCCTATTCACGAGTGACTAGTGAGTCAACACGGGGCACATTAACTGACCCAGTATTTCCTATTCACGAGTGACTAGTGGGTCAACACGGGGCACATTAACTGACCAGTATTTCCTATTCACGAGTGACTAGTGGGTCAACACGGGGCACATTAACTGACCCAGTATTTCCTATTCACGAGTGACTAGTGGGTCAACATGGGGCACATTAACTGACCAGTATTTCCTATTCACGAGTGACTAGTGAGTCAACACAGGGCACATTAACTGACCCAGTATTTCCTATTCACGAATGACTAGTGGGATAACACGGGGCACATTATAACTGACCCAGTATATCCTATTCACGAGTGACTAGTGAGTCAACACGGGGCACATTAACTGACCAGTATTTCCTATTCACGAGTGACTAGTGGGTCAACACGGGGCACATTAACTGACCAGTATTTCCTAATCACGAGTGACTAGTGAGTCAACATGGGGCACATTAACTGACCCAGTATTTCCTATTTCACTATTCACGAATCACTACTAGTGAGTCAACATGGGGCACATTAACTGACCAGTATTTCCTATTCATGAGTGACTAGTGAGTCAACACGGGGCACATTAACTGACCCAGTATTTCCTATTCACGAGTGACTAGTGGGTCAACACGGGGCACATTAACTGACCCAGTATATCCTATTCACGAGTGAATAGTACCTTTTTGCTTAATCCCCCTGAGAAGTAGATTCAAATTAGTAAATCCAACAGATAGCCAGGCTAGTGATCCAGCAGGCATGAGGTGCCGGGATCGAGGTGTGACCTGGTGTGAAAACCCTGGAGTCAACTTTGTGTGCAGACTCTTTTAGTGTTGTCACCACAGGGGCTTGTACGCTAAAACTGCCATCAAGGTATGTACTGTCACTAATGGGGTCTTATCACTATATAAAAGGAAAGGGATGTCAACATGGGGCACATTAACTGACCCAGTATATCCTATTCACGAAAGTGAATAATACCTTTTGCTTAATCCCCTGAGAAGTAGATTCAAATTAGTAAATCCAACAGATAGCCAGGCTAGTGATCCATTCTCTGACTATAGTGCGAGCATGAGGTGCCGGGATCATGAGGTGTGACCTGGTGTGAAAACCCTGGAGGTGCAGACTCAGTGTTGTCACCACAGGGGCTTGTACCGCTAAAACTGCCATCAAGGTAACTGTCACTAATGGGGTCTTTCTATATAAAAGGAAAGGGATGTAACGAATCAACACACCAGTTCGTTTCAGGGCGAATTCAACAATGATCACTGAATCTGTCCCATTTAAAGTATGCAGACATTTCAAACCAATAGATTTACCTACAAACTAAGACATAGAGCACAAAAATCGAAGCAGTACTTTGGGAGCTCGAAAAATCTTGATTTCTCGATTCTGAGCCAAAATCCCTGCTCATAATTTGTAGCGGTAACTCACCCATTTTCTTGTTTATTTCACAGTATACACAAACGACATGCACCAAAACATGTTGAACTGATGGCGCCTGTCAGCGCGCTAGTCGCCATTCTTTCGGAGACACTTACACCTCACTGTCATAATGAGTTTACGTACATTTATTCATCGCAAACAGAATTGTGTCATTCCCGTTCGTCATTGACGACCTTAGCCTTAACCTGCCCCGCACTGAAAAGAGCAAGGGATATCATTGGCTATAAATAAAATATGTCCCATCAGATCGCGGACCTTTTTCCAAGGTAAACTTGGACAAGGTACTGTGACTATGTGTCCCAGTCCGCCCAGCTGTGAATGGCTACCTCGTAAGGATGGGAAAGCCACAATACCTCGTTGAGCCTTGTGGCAGCAAGAGTTGTATGATCCCCAGGGAGTTGTCGAGGGGAAAAATACCAGCGCCTTGAGCATGCACTGGTGCATGGATATGTGCGCTATATAAATATCCAATAACAAAGATAGTTCTAACTAATTTCCTTCTCACTTTATTGCTATGTAAACACTAGATTCCTTAAAAAAAATAACCAAAGACACCACTCAAAAAACCGTGGTGGCTGAGTGGATTAGGTGTCTGACTTTGTGTGCTGGCGATTAGGTGCCCGACTCTGAGGGTTCAAATCCTGAATGGGACTCAACCCAACAAAAGCACTAGAATCTGAGAAAGTGATGCTGTACCCTGGATGTTTCAATGGAAATTGACTGTTACCATGGTTACAGTTCTACAGTGGCACATGGATGTTGGACACAACTCACAACGCTGCATCAATTGTAAGGTTTTATTACACTGAAGAGTAATGTCAGGACCATGCAACTCTCAAGGAAGCATATCTAGCAAACAAACACGTGTCAGCTCTGTCATGCTGGTAAAGCATGTCGTTCAACCAAAGTAATGTTACCATAAAATAAATATTACCACATTGTCTATTACGACTCACAGACTTGTCAACAGTTGCCTGTTCTACAAGCTTGGATCCACGACTACCCAGTGTACCATACATCTCTATTACACCATGATGTGAACCTATCACAGTGGACCCGAGACCCCATACGCTGGGGAATCAAAGGGGACACGCTGAATGCCATCACATAGCGCCACCAATCTCTATTACACCATGATGTGAACCTATCACAGTGGACCCGAGACCCCATCAAAGGGGCTGGGGAATCAAAGGGGACACGCTGAATGCCATCACATAGCGCCACCAATCATCAGCATGTGGTTCTCTGTCACTACCTGACTGATGCCAGAAATACCATAATATCTCTACAGAAAAAGACCATCTTGGTCATATCAGGACTAAACTTCCTTGAAAGAATGCTTACTCGAATGTTCATATTTGCTCAGACAGCATGTTATAACAAAAAACACATTAAATAAATAAACTTAAACAGAACAGATCAACCTTCCATATAAACTCTCTGATTGTCAGTATACATAATATATATGTAATATTCAATATTGGCAGACAATGCATTCAGACATGTGAGAAAAGCACTGTACAGGACGCAGTTCCAGTGTGACTGTGAGGTGAGTACACACCAACATGAACGGTTGTCTTCACTTTGTCATCATATCATAAAGCAACATTATATTAACAAGACTGGTTACTATACCTACAAGACAAGCGTATGATATATTAATGAGACGATGTATGCTGGTACATGTAGGACTTCACAACCCAAAAGGTGAAATAAAACATCACTACTTGAAAATTAAGCAAAGACACCATGCTTTGATTTCCTGCATCCCACACAGCGGACGAGCAGAGCCGGGTGAAAACAGATCTGGGAAGGGCAGTAACTGCAATTACCGTCAGCACGGAGCACTGGCATTGTGTTGAAATGCAATGTATCAGTCAGAGCCAGGACTTGGGTAAGGGAAGTGTACCAGTTACTGGCATACATCATGAGTTGTGACACGTCTGGACATCGTATCTTAATGTTTCACATGTGAACTACAAGTTTTGTGTTTCCTCAAGCTGATTAGCAAGACAAAAGCTGATCCCATTCAACACAAGTTCATACAAATAGACATCATAGATCAAAGAACGTAGCCAAATATTATCAAAATATCAAACAATAGCCTGAAATATATAATAGAGGATGTAGATAAGCAATGTTTCTGGAGAAAGATATGTAAGATGTTCCAGGCTCTGAATCTGTTCAAGAAAGTTGCCCAAGGACTGGCTGCCTCTCTATCGGTAAGTCTGATAATTGGCCCATGTTGAGACTGGAACTTGAATAGTTTGAGTTTGTCCTGGGTTGGTTGTGACGACCGACACTGATACAGGATGACCAGCAACAATTGCCTGCTGGCCTGTTGGAGGTGGCGCGGCAGCAATTACTGTGGCTCCTGAAGTGGCAACCTGAGCAAACTGTGTGTGTGCCAGGGCGTGTCCGAGATGGCTGAGCTCGATGGTGGTGTGCTGCTGGCTGGGGTGTTGGGCTGGAGTGATCACCATGGTCGGGAGGCGGGACGTGATGTGGAACTCCCCTGGCCTGTACTCCTGCAGTGTCTGAGTCAGCTCACTCATGGCCTGGGTCAGCAGATCAGCAGCTTGCAGGGTCTCAGGCTGCGCTCCCTGGACTGTTGCGGTCACCTCTTCGTAACGCTCAGGCTGCTGGGCAGCTTCAAGAAGAGGAAGTTCATCCTTCATCTTGGGTCGGTCCGGCAACTGGGGAACATAGTCAGGATGCTTCTTCCTTTGATGTTGCATCAGTTTAGCCTTGCTGGCGTATTGCTTATGACAGAACTGACATGAGTGGGGCATGGTCGTGATGGAGCCCACTGTCTGGGAATAGGTCGGGTTTGGAAGTCCGGGGATCTCCGGGATGAGGCATTTCTTCCTGCTGCTGATTGGCAGATCTGCACCAGGGTGGTTTTTGATGATGTGAGCCTTCCGTTTGGAACTTGATTTGTATACTTTATCACAATACTGACAATAGTAATCTCGCTGGGTTTTCAAGATGGGGAGATTGAGTTCAGGTACCTGGTCAGGTTTAATCTCTGGGTGCCTCTTGGCAAGATGGTTGACCAGCATGCCTCGTCTCTTGAACCCTAACAGACAGGTGTGGCATTTGTAGATAAACCTGTGATAGTCAGTTGGAGACACTTTCGGAATGAATTTCTTGGATGGAGACTTGTCACCTTTATGAGCATTTTTCACCTCCCGCTCAAGAGAATGCATCCGTTTTATATGCTCCTTTAGTTTGTCCTTTCGTTTGAACTGACGCCCACAGTTCTCACACATGAACTCACGATGAGTAGAGTGTCTTAGCATATGAAGCTTCAGTTTGTCCTGTCGAGGAAACACTTTATCACACTCAGGGCATGGATAACGTTTTTCAGAATGGAACGCCTTCATATGTTTACGAATAATATGATAATCATCAAACTGCTTCCCACACTCAGGGCAGGTAAAATATCCGCTCTGAGCGTGGAGAACTATGTGATTCTTCATGGTGGTGATCTGGTCAAATCCAAGACGACATATGGGACACTCGTAGTACTTCTTGTCACTGTGAGTCTTCATGTGACAGGCCAGTGCGGAGTTGTTCATGAAGCGTTTGTAACACACATCACACTGCAGAGGCTTGCTGTCCTCCTCGCCGTGACACAACATGTGCTTCTGGAGACGATCCTGAGAGCCAAATGCCTTCCAACATTTTTCACACTTATGAGGCCTGTTTGGATTCAGCAATTTCTTCTTGCTTTTTCCATGTTCAGAGGCATGGTCTATTAGGTCTCTCTTATTAGCAAACTGTCGGTGACACATTGGACAGGCTAGGTACGTCTCCATGCTAACAATTTCACCATCCTCAGTGCGCATGTCACTATCTGAGTTGGCGTTCTGCATTTCTCCTACATCACACGCAAATTTCTTGATTTCATCCAAACCAACATCTTCTGCAGCGTGGGTCAGCGTATGCAAATTTAGGAGGTTAGAGTTGTCGAAGGTGAGGTCACAGTGCATGCACACCCACTCATTCCCACCAGTGTCCTTGCCCTTCTTCTTGTAGAGAGACTTGATGGTCTGGCGGATCTTCTCCGTGTGAGGCCGACGCTGATACTTCTTCAGGGTCCTGAAGCCAAATAATATGTAGACATGTAAGGATGAACAATTTCCTTGTGATACAGAACAACATAGGATGTAATGTGTACAATTTGGAGAATGGCATTTCTTCTTTATAAAGTATACCTCCCTATTAACATGCTTTAGCAGCAATTTACTACCAAATACAATACAAACTATGACATGTGAGAGTGGCATTGTCAGAGTTTGGCTGAGTGGGGGAACACTAAGGCCATAGTTCCCTGGGCCCCCTTGATGTCCTGGACACAAGCTGATGCTACTCACTTGTTCAAGTAGATACTGGTGGACTTTTTCTTCCACTGGTAACCTGATGTTTCTCCAAGACCGTCCTGTTATGTAAATACAAGAGTTCATTCAGTACAGCATGTCATATTACATCATAAACTGATGCATTCAGTACAGCATGTCATATTGTCTAGAAATTATTTCACCCAGCAAAGGATGTCATATATATTATCACAGGGTGTATTCTGTCGTAACAGACTCCGGGAACACGGTGGCCACTCCAGGACAGAGTAAACTCATTAACTGGGAACTTAAAATTAATTAGTCTCATTACCGTGCTACTTCTCATGTAACAAATGTTTTGACGACAAGTTTACCCCTTTAGAATGAGTATGCCTTGCTTCTGCCTGGCATTATTTGATGTTTTAATGTTACTTGTCATGGGAGTTCTCAGACAGTGATATACATGTAATAAATAATGTGTGCAATCCATGATGTGCATCTTTGCGCAAGTCATGGATGTAAGAGGAGAGATTGTGACAGGCAGACAGCAGGGATTTGACATCTTATTAGAAGGTGTTCAGTATAACTGTCATAAAGAAGATCGAACATTGAAGATCGCTCCGGACATGTCAAATTGTATTGGTGGCCACTCAGGGTTAGCCCAATGAACAACCAATTACAGGTAGAAAACCTCGGTGGCCACATCGGGCATAAATCATATCGCAGACATGGATTCACTCAGTAAAGCATGTTGTCTTATCTCGTAAATTTATTTACCATTTTGGGTAGGATGTACAATGAAAGCTTTTGGAATCTTTCCTCTAAATTCTGATTATTTTGACATAAAGTATGAATGCATATATTGTAACTTAATATCACATGTATAAAAGAATTCTTAGTGACAACTCAAGACTGGAGAACTATGTTGAATGTTGAGTACCGACCTTCTTCCCTGCTCTAGCCCGTGCCTTGAAGAGACTTCCCTTTGTGAACAATCGTTTCTTGGCCTTACTGCGGACTTCAACCTTCTCATCGAATTCATCATCATCACCTTGGTTCGCTGTGCCTTCCTCATGCCCCAGCAGATGGCGCTGTAGCGCTACCGATGTCTTGAAGCGTTTGTTACACTCGTAACATGGGAAGCGGTATTCCTGCTCATCAAGCGCTGAAACACATTCACATCTTACACTCATACTTCATAACCATCAAACTACCACAAACATCATACATGTGTGTTAGTGATATTGTGCTGCTCTCACTGTCAGACGACTACCCACCATCTCACTACCACATACATCATACATGTGTGTTAGTGATATTGTGCTGCTCTCACTGTGAGACGACTACCCACCATCTCACTACCACATACATAATACATACATGTGTGTCAGTGATATTGTGCTGCTCTCACTGTCAGACGACTACCCACCATCTCACTACCACATACATCATACATGTGTGTTAGTGATATTGTGCTGCTCTCACTGTGAGACGACTACCCACCATCTCACTACCACATACATCATACATGTGTGGTAGTGATATTGTGCTGCTCTCACTGTGAGACGACTACGCACCATCTCACTACCACAAACATCATACATGTGTGTCAGTGATATTGTGCTGCTCTCACTGTGAGACGACTACCCACCATCTCACTACCACATACATTATACATACATGTGTGTTAGTGATATTGTGCTGCTCTCACTGTGAGACGACTACGCACCATCTCACTACCACATACATCATACATACATGTGTGTCAGTGATATTGTGCTGCTCTCACTGTGAGACGACTACCCACCATCTCACTACCACATACATCATACATACATGTGTGTCAGTGATATTGTGCTGCTCTCACTGTGAGACGACTACCCACCACCTCACTACCATATACATCATACATGTGTGTTAGTGATATTGTGCTGCTCTCACTGTGAGAATCGACTACTCCACCATCTCACTACCACCACATACATCATACATGTGTGTCAGTGATATTGTGCTGCTCTCACTGTGTGTCAGACGACTACCCACCATCTCACTACCACATACATCATACATACATGTGTGTCAGTGATATTGTGCTGCTCTCACTGTCAGGCGACTCACGCACCATCTCACTACCACATACATCATACATGGGGTGATGTGTGTCATGTGATATTGTGCTGCTCTCACTGTGTGATTCTGACTACTCCACCATCTCACTACCACATACATCATACATACATGTGTGTTAGTGATATTGTGCTGCTCTCACTGTGAGATCGATTACCCACCATCTCACTACCACATACATCATACATGTGTGTTAGTGATATTGTGCTGCTCTCACTGTCAGGCGACTACCCACCATCTCACTACCACCACATACATCATACATGTGTGTCAGTGATATTGTGCTGCTCTCACTGTGAGATCGACTCACCCACCATCTCACTACCACATACATACATACATGTGTGTTCAGTGATATTGTGCTGCTCTCACTGTCATCTCACTACCCACCATCTCACTACCACATACATCATACATACATGTGTGTCAGTGATATTGTGCTGCTCTCACTGTCATCTCACTACCACATACATCATACATGTGTGTTAGTGATATTGTGCTGCTCTCACTGTCAGACGACTACCCACCATCTCACTACCACATACATCATACATGTGTGTTAGTGATATTGTGCTGCTCTCACTGTCAGACGACTACCCACCATCTCACTACCACCACATCATACATACATACATGTGTGTCAGTGATATTGTGCTGCTCTCACTGTCAGACGACTACCCACCATCTCACTACCACATACATCATACATGTGTGTTAGTGATATTGTGCTGCTCTCACTGTCAGACGACTACCCACCATCTCACTACCACATACATCATACATACATGTGTGTCAGTGATATTGTGCTGCTCTCACTGTGAGACGACTACCCACCATCTCACTACCACATACATCATACATGTGTGTCAGTGATATTGTGCTGCTCTCACTGTCAGACGACTACCCACCATCTCACTACCACATACATCATACATGTGTGTTAGTGATATTGTGCTGCTCTCACTGTCAGACGACTACCCACCATCTCACTACCACATACATCATACATGTGTGTCAGTGATATTGTGCTGCTCTCACTGTCAGACCACTACCCACCATCTCACTACCACATACATACATACATGTGTGTGTAGTGATATTGTGCTGCTCTCACTGTCAGACGACTACCCACCATCTCACTACCACATACATCATACATACATGTGTTGTCAGTGATATTGTGCTGCTCTCACTGTCAGACACTCACCACCCACCATCTCACTACCACATACATCATACATACATGTGTGTTAGTGATATTGTGCTGCTCTCACTGTCAGACGACTACCCACCATCTCACTACCACATACATCATACATGTGTGTGTGTTGATGTGATATTGTGCTGCTCTCACTGTCAGACGACTACCCACCATCTCACTACCACATACATCATACATGTGTGTAAGTGATATTGTGCTGCTCTCACTGTCAGACGACTACCCACCATCTCACTACCACATACATCATACATGTGTGTTAGTGATATTGTGCTGCTCTCACTGTCAGACGACTACCCACCATCTCACTACCATATACATCATACATGTGTGAGAGATATTGTGCTGCTGTGAGCCGACTACCCACCATCTCACTACCACATACATCATACATCTGACTGTGAGCCGACTACCCACCATCTCTGTCCTCCTGCGTCATGTCATGGGTCTTCAGCCCCATCCTGGTGGCATAGTGGGCTGCGTACCAAACCTGGATGTACAAATACATACAGTCAGTCAGGGGGCAGTATGTCAGTAATATTACAGTAGTATCAGAATGGGGTACACTGTGTCACGCTGATTGTACCACAAAACACAGACACATTTATCATCTTTTTTAAAACTACCTTTATACAACACCATGTTAAACCAAAAAATAAAAGTACTCTTTGAAAAAACTAAAACTGCACATACTACTATTCACTTTTCACATAATGATTAAAACTACAGCATTCATTATAACAAGATTGGTGTAGTAGACTCAGTGTCGCCATATTGCTAGCAGCTGGATTCAGAGCAACAAGTTGAATGGGTTCCCATTCCCTCAATGGCTGGTGGTGTAGCTACCTTCAGTTCCTGTCTTGTGTCGATGGCTTTGGTGACAGTGAAGAAGATGTCCTGGCCGTGCTGGTAGGCCACTAAATTCTGCTCCATGAAGTTCTCTGCCGGTCTTACGAACATCATCCAGTTACACTTGTTCTCATCAGAGGTCTCGAAGTAGGCCAGAGTGTTGTCAGACCGGTCCAGCTGCAGGAACAACCATAAACCTAGTTACCACATACACCAGTTATCTCATCTCCTCATACACCAGCTATCTCCTCATGCACCAGCTATCTCCTCATGCACCAGTTACCTCCTCATCTTCTCATACACCAGTTACCACATACACCAGTAATCTCCTCATCTACTCATACACCAGTTATCTCCTCATCTACTCATACACCACTTACAACATACACCAGTAATCTCCTCATACACCAGTTATACTCACCTACTGATACACCAGTTACCTCCTCATCTCATACACCAGTTATCTCCTCATCTCCTCATACACCAGTTATCTCCTAATCTCCTCATACACCAGTTATCTCATCTACTCATACACCAGTTATCTCATCTACTCTAACACCAGTTATCTCCTCACCTACTCATACACCAGTTATCTCCTCATACACCAGTTATACTCACCTACTGATACACCAGTTACCTCCTCATCTCATACACAAGTTATTTCCTCATACACCAGTTATCTCCTCATCTCCTCATACACCAGTTATCTCCTCATCTTCTCATACACCAGTTATCTCCTCACCTACTCATACACCAGTTATCTCCTCATCTCCTCATACACCAGCTATCTCCTCACCTACTCATACACCAGTTATCTCCTCATCTCCTCATACACCAGTTATCTCCTCATCCACCAGTTATCTCCTCATCTACTCATACACCACTTATCTCCTCATCTCCACATACACCAGTTATATCCTCATCTACTCATACACCAATTATCTCATCTACCAGTTATCTCCTCATCTCATCCACCAGTTATCTCCTCACCTACTCATACACCATTTATCTCCTCATACACCAATTATCTCATCTTCTCATACACCAGTTATCTCCTCATCTGCTCGTACACCAGTTATCTCCTCATACACGTTACCTCCTCATACACCAGTTATCTCCTCATCTCCTCATACACCAATTATCTCATCTCCTCATACACCAGTTATCTCCTCATCTCATACACCAGTTATCTCCTCATACACCAGTTACCTCCTCATACACCAGTTACCTCCTCATACACCAATTATCTCATCTTTTTATACACCAGTTATCTCCTCATCTGTTCATACACCAGTTATCTCCTCATACACCAGTTACATCATACACCAGTAATCTCCTCATTTCATACACCAGTTACCACATACACCAGTTATATCCTCATCTACTCATACACCAGTTATCTCCTCATACACCAGTTACCTCCTCATACACCAGTTACATCATACACCAGTTACCTCATCTCATACACCAGTTATCTCATCATCTGTTCACCATTATCTCCATACACCAGTTCTCATCATACACCACTTATCTCTCATACACCAGTTCATCTCCTCATACACCATACCACACACCAGTTTATCCTCATCTACTCATACACCAGTTATCTCCTCATACACCAGTTACCTCCTCATACACCAGTTACATCATACACCACTTATCTCCTCATACACCAGTTATCTCCTCATACACCAGTTACATCATACACCACTTATCTCCTCACCTCATACACCAGTTACATCATACACCACTTATCTCCTCATACACCACTTATCTCCTCATCTTCTCATACACAAGTTACCACATACATCAGTTATCTCCTCATCTACCCATACATCAGTTACCACATACACCAGTTATCTCCTCATCTACCCATACATCAGTTACCACATACACCAGTTATCTCCTCATCTACCCATACATCAGTTACCACATACACCAGTTATTTCCTCATACACCAGTTATCTCATCTTCTCATACACAAGTTATCTCCTCATACACCAGTTATCTCCTCATCTCCTCATACACCAGTTATCTCCTCTTTTCATACACCAGTTATCTCCTCATCTTCTCATACACCAGTTATAACTTTAACAGTCCCAACATGTGATCATAGTAGCAGCTTCAGGTAGCACATAGACATATGCTGCTAAGCAACTTCAAATGTGAAACAGAATTTCTTCAAAATGCACCATACCATTAGTGGAAATTTGTGCACAGTGACTTTCTCCTGGGAATCCACCAAATCTCCCACAAAGGGACCAAACTGGGTATACTTGGGGATTGGTTTCTTCGCAAACACTCCCAGGTCTGAAAAACAATACGTATCCTGAATTGGTAACACATTAACTAACATCTGGTAACATGAGCAAGAATATTAACGATTAAAGTATCATTTACAGGAACAAGCATGATTTCATGGTATCTTTGATGGAACATAATACTCAAAGCGTGAACAGTTACCTGCCCCTCCTGTTTCACTGAGGCGGTAGATCTGTAGTTGCGGTGGCAGACTTGACCATGCCCGAGACAGCACCACCTTGTCCAGCACTATGGACAATCGGTGGACAGGACACTCGGTTGGGTAGGTGGTCATACACTCCTCACACCCTGGACACAAACACACTGGCTCATCACATTTGTTTCATCAATTCAACCACAGCACTTGTTGAACAAATATTATAACAAGAATATGCAGGAACACTGCACTCATGAACCACCCAACAATAGTTAGTATACTTTTAGTCTGACATTCATCCTGCAGATGTGAGCTGCAATAAACAGTACTGAAGGTAGATACAAAAACTCAAAATCAAATGACTTCTGACATGTTGCAGTAATATTTGTTTGTATTTACAAGTATTGTATTGTGATAGTGCAGGGTGACCATCATATTGTATACAGACCCCTGAAACGAGACACTTACACAGTTCATCTGAGTTGTAGGGTTTGGGAACGTAAGTGTGGCGGCGACGCCAGGATGTGGAGGCCTGTTCCTGGTCTAACGTTGCAATACGGCTGGACTTCCTCACCTGAAACACATCATCCGTAAAGTGCTGACACTGTAGATGTTAACCATAGAGACCATACAACATTCAGTGAAGGTGGTTTCTACACTGTCTCCAGCCACCTGTTGAATTGAGTCCAGTAACATTTCTGTCATCCCGTTAGTTCACCTGATAATGTTCACAGTCAGACAGTAGAACCTACTGCAAATAAGAAAAATGACAACTTCGGGCCAGTAGATTATTTCACTTTCCATATCTTTGTTTGATGTTTCTTGCAGCAGCCTGCATTATATCCGCTATGTAAAGACAACCTGTAAACAATCAAGCCTGGCCCAGACGATGCAATAATTGATAGTATGTCACCACATCACCAGGTCCAGTATAATCCACCAAGTCTATTTTAGTCACCTCTTAGAAAAAGCAAGTGAGTGTTTGGGACGTGTTTGAAGCTGGAGACCCTACAACATGTTGACCTGTGACGGTTGGCTATACCCACCGACGCACTGACTCGCCCATGACTTGACTGAGGGTCGTTCTCCTTGTCGTCATCGTCCATGGACCTGCTGTACACCTGCCCCAGAGCTGCATCGCTGCCAGTCACCATGCTGTCCGCCACTGCCTGGGCTGAACAGACAAGTACAATTCAACTACTCACTTGTTTTGAAGCAAGGATTTATCTGTTGTACCACTTAGGTGCATTATGTCCTTTGTTTGGGCAAGTTGGTATTTTTCGTAATTAAAGTATAGGCGTTACTACTGTGTAGCATTATGGTCTCTTTGTGGTAAACTCCCCTAGGTAATGGCACAATCAAGTTTCTCAAGCTTGTAAACTTGACCCCTGACCTTTTTATAATATGGTAAAAGAATTTCTCAGATCCATTAAGACTAATTTCGACTGTAGATAATAGAAATATCACAGCTTGTGATGGTCAGGGATGAGAAAGAAGTATTGAGAAAAACTCCTGATATTTAGGCATTAAAGGGCAATTTAAATTTAGGCAAACTGGCTCAGAAATGACAATATCATGAACACAGCAACCATTAAAAAACTTTAAATCTGCTGAAACACATTCATACAATTGTCAACGGATTTAGACGAGTCACAAAAATTACCCTTGGCCTTATGAAATTCCTGGAATTCCGCAGATCCGCGGAAAATTCTCATCCCTGGTTGGTTACATTCCCACTAAACCTGCTCATTAACTCTGAATTGTCTGTATTCTTTACTGCCAACATTCCTCTAGTATATAAACATATGATACAGTCACTGACTACATGTAAGTTGCACATGACAGACAAGAGCAGCTGTATTAGTATTAGTATTCCAAACACATACATGCAACATCTGGCTAATGTCCTGTCAAGAGCTGTCTGACATATTCTCTCACCTAGATCTGGTCCTATTGCGGAGCTCCCAACCGACCGATCCATGCCAGCATCCATGACGATGACATCCCCGGGTGTGTGCAGCGAGGTGTCCAGGGAGGAGCTCATGGCCGCCTCGTGTGAGGAGGAGAGGTGGCTGCTGTCCATGGTGGTGTCCATCACCACATGGCTGCTGGAGGTGGTGAGGGAGGATGGTACTGGCATGGTGGAGTGAAGGGCCTCGGAGTCCATGGCCGAGGTGGTGTTGGAGTAGGTGGTGGAGGGGTGCAGGTAGCTGCGGGACGCTGCAGCAAACAGGGAACCAGGTCAAGGTCACACCCACAACATATCACAAGTCTAGACGGTGTGTAGAGGGAATGTCCAGTTCATATTGAAACACATTCATTTAAGGGTTATAAAACCAGAGACACAAATTATACGATGCTGCGTTCTGTTACATGTTCGGATGTGTCCTGTACATACCATGTGCGTGGCTGTAGTCGTGGACATCCTCCTGTGTGGTGTCCGGCTCCCCACTCAGACTGTCAAGGTCGCGGTCGTCCTGCAACATACACTCCTACACATCATCGACCAGTGGAAGCATAGTAGTCCTACAGATTCACTGTTGGATTTGACTTTGTGCCTGCCATTGCCAAAGTTTTGGTGGGAAACAAGAAGGCAGCCTCCACAGCATTCTGTTACCATGTGCTCTGAACAACAAATCCTTCAACTTTCGAACAAACACTTCTCAGCCATCACTTTCTGTGCCACATGTAGTAGCAGATCAGAGCCCTGTCGCATACAGAGATCTTACCGCTGTGCCACATGTAGTAGCAGATCACAGCCCTGTCGCATACAGAGATCTTACCGCTGTGCCACATGTAGTAGCAGATCAGAGCCCTGTCGCATACAGAGATCTTACCGCTGTGCCACATGTAAGTAGCAGATCAGAGCCCGTCGCATACAGAGATCTTACCGCTGTGCCACATGTAGTAGCAGATCAGAGCCCGTCGCATACAGAGATCTTACCGCTGTGCCACATGTAGTAGCAGATCAGAGCCCTGTCGCATACAGAGATCTTACCGCTGTGCCACATGTAGTAGCAGATCAGAGCCCTGTCGCATACAGAGATCTTACCGCTGTGCCAGATGTAGTAGCAGATGGGTGTGTAGGAAGTATGTGGTTTCTGATGATGTATTTAAATATAGACACCTGCTTCTTCAAAAGAAATCGTCTGACAAGGATTCTCAGAGTTCTGTTATTAATTATCATGCTGCAAAGGGGCATTCCTCTTATTTTACATCTATTATTGCAAGCTATGACTGTAATCCAGGTGTTGTGACCAATGTGACATACCGCTCTGTGGGCGTCTCTGTCCTCAAGTGTGGCCGACTGGGACATGAGAGGGGAGTCCCCAGAGGTGCTGACCTCGCCGTGTGACGCAAACTGTGGCATGGACGTCACATGCACCGTCACATAGGAGGGGGCACCACTTGGTTGAGGTTGCTGCAACATCATGACATGTTAAGCTTGTCAGAAATGTAATGTTTTAAGTAAAATTGATATTTTATACTTATCCTGACTCATGATCTTTTGCTTATCTCCCTTTCCTATGCGAATGGTAGTGGAACACTTGAATCCTTTGAAGTTCCCAAAGCGGACGTAAAAATACACTCACCAACGAGTTACCTCCCTTTTCCCGCGTAATCAGTCATGTGACCAGCCTTACTTGTCACTCTCTCCTGATTTTCTACCCATGCACCTGGATTTACTGTGAAATCCGAAGTGTTTCCAGCTGGGAGGTTGGGAGGGCTTGACCTCATGAGTCAGGATAAGTATAAAATATCAATTTTATTTAAAAAATTACATATTTTTCCTTATCCTGACTCATGATCTTTTGCTTATAGAATCCTGCGGATTGGTGGTGGGTCAAGCCACTTCCTGGATTCATCAGCTGTCCTTAGATACGTCCTGTATCCCTCATGGGAACTGCGTAATGGCATTTCCGAGATCCTTTTCTTCCAACTTCCGTTATAACTCGGGGGGACCACTTTCTTGTCTTACTTCAATCTCAGACAAGTTGAATCATGTTGACTCATGTGGTTTAAGATATACTAGTATCTTCTTTTTACTAGTTATCTTTAACAACCCATAGATTATGATAAGATCTTTATCATAAATGAGTTGCAACCCCCCTTACATACAGGTAAGATCTTTACCCCTACAGAGTCTTAATCACTCACGCTAGTCTGTCCTAGACTGTGCACATGGACTTTCAAACTAATACTTTTTCCTTAGTAAAAGTTATCAACAAGTCAACGTGATAAAGGGTGAGATTTTCAACTCAGCGCCTTTGTGGAATCGTTAGTTGCTGTGCTACAACGAAATGCCCAAACTGGTGCATGCCAGAGACGTCTTCGGTGACTACTAAGGCTGTAACGATTCACTCGCATATTCGATGAATCGAACCGTAGCCCATCATGAATTCAATTCGTTATTCGTGGTCACCAGAACCGAATATTAACGAATATTTACGATTTTTTTAAGGGAGCATGTTTTACTTGAACCCTTGTGTACTTTCGGAAAGTGAGATTTGCAAGGATGGAATCTGTACTAATCTGTAAGTCATGTTAGTTTGCGAAGGCCGCACATGGTACTGTCGACTATAACTATTACATGCCAAATTTGAGTGTCATGAGATCACTGGTTATTGGTGTGACAAATCAAAACTGTCAACATGGGCGTTCCATATTGTACATCAATCACTTAACTACAATATTGTATTCGTGAATAATTATTCGTTGCAGCCCTAGTGGCTATGTCTTGGAGGTAGTGGTTGGCAAACACCGTATCTGACTTCCAGAAGCAGCCCTCCATAATTGATGATATAGAGCAATTTCCGTGCAGAGCTAGTGTTGACGCCAGTGCTCTGACTTCGTGTGGGTTGGAAGCTCTTTGAGGCTCTAGTCCTGATGCTTTGTAGGCTTTCAGTATAACGCCTCTCATCCAGAACGATATTGTCGTTCTTGAGACTTCTACTGACGTCTCTGTAGATAATGGAATGAATAGGCGCTTGAATTTTCTTCTCCTTGTTTTAGTCTTTTGAAGATTTATCTTCAGGGCTCTGACAGGACACAAGGATAAGTCTTGCGTATCCTCTGGTCCGAGGATCGTAGATAGAGCTGGTACGTGGAACTGTCTATCTGGTTGACCAGGTAGTTGATTCTTGGCAATAAAGTTCCATCTGAGTCCTAGATGTAGTGCAGCATGTTTCCCCGTGTCGAATCTAGTTCGACCAAAGTCCAGGGAATGTATCTCACACATTCGAGCTGCCGTGGCTAGCGCAACCAGGAACAGAGTCTTCTGTGTAAGCAGTTCGAAGGTAGTCTGTTCTAGAGGTTCGTATGCATCGCTCATGAGATGACGTAGAATTACATTCAGATCCCAGGCCGGTGCTCTGAATTTCTTTTGCTGGTCCTCCAGTTTAAAAAATCTCAGCAGAGCAAGTCATTCTGGTACTTTCGTCAACTTGATGCCTGTCTTCATGGTGATTACTGTACTGATGGCAGCCAGATACGTGGATAATGTCGAACCTTTCAGATGTCTAGTATATCTAAGATGACATAGATATTCTGCCACTTTTTAGGATGAGCAGCTTTCATAGCTATGAAGCCTTTCCGCCTTACATATGTCTCAAACTTCTGCCACTTGTCGTCATACAGGTTACGAGTGGATCTGCCTAACGCTAAGGTTACTGCCTTGGCTGCTCTGGCGGAGTATCCTCTTTTCATCAAACATGTTTTGATACGGTCCACATGTGTACCTGGAACAGTGCTGGGTTCCCGTGGACTTGCCTGGTGTGCGGATGTCTGAGTAGGTTCGGCCATTCTGGGAACTTTAGGGTTGGACTTCCGTGATCTTCTATTAGGTCTAGGAACCATACTCTCGCTGGCCAATAGGGCACGACCAAAGTCAGTTGTAGCGCCTGTGTCTGTTTGATTTTCAACAGTACTTTCGGTAGTTATATCGGGGTGGAAACGCGTAAGCGTTTAGTCCTTCCCATGATATGCTCAGTGCATCTGTTGCCCAGGCTTGAGGATCTGGAACTGGTGATACAAACGTGTGTAGTTGTTTGTTGAACCTCGTGGCAAACAGGTTTATGCATGGGGATCCTATTTCCCTTATGATGAGCCAAAATTCTTCTGGATGGAGCATCCATTCCGTAGGTGACGGGTGCAGTGGTCGGGAAAGAGTGTCTGCAAGTACGTTCTTGGCTCCGGGTGTGTGACACGCCTTTATCCAGATGTTTGCCTCTTCCGTGATGTCGAACAACTGGAATGTGAGCTGTAGTACGCTTGGTGATCTTGTAGATCCTTTCCGATTTATAGAGAATGCCACTGTAGAGTTGTCCGTGTGGACCATCAGCTTTCTGTTGATCAGTGAGCTCGACCATAGTTGTAAGGCGTTGATCACAGCTTTCATCTCCAGCAGACTGACGTGAAGATGCTGCTCTGTTTTGGACCACTTCCCTGATGCAACTTGATTGTTGAGATGTGCACCCCAACCTTGTATCGATGCGTCTATGTAGAGATGTGTGTCGAAGGCCGGCTCTTGTAAATAGGTCCCTCCGCAGACGTTCGACCTGTGGGTCCACCAAAGTAGGTACCTCTTGAGATTGTCCGTTGCAGCGGCCTTAGTTGTAACCTTCCTGTGCGAGTCAAGTCCTGCGCTGAGGTTAGTAGACCGAGTAGACATTGCCATGTTCATAGTGTTAATGGAGAGATGACTGCTTGAGGAATCATGGCTTGTATCTTGACCCAACGATTTTCTGGGACGACAATACGAATCTGTGTTGTGATAAATCTTATTCCCAGAAATTGAAGATCTTGTTTTGGTTCCAACTCTGACTTCATATGGTTCACCAGCCATCCTAGTTGAGTGAGCAACTTGATTGTGAAGTTCAGCTGTAGTCTGAGTTGACTGGCACTTTAGTGAACCTGAATGCCGTCGTCCAGGTAAAAGGCATTGCGTAGACCTCGATGATGTAGGTATGCGACTATAGGCTTGGTTACTCGCGTGAATAGCCACAGAGCCGAAGATATTCCAAACGGTAGGACGTTCCATTGGAAGTGCTGACCTCTGAATAGGAATCGCAGATACTTTCTTGATTCCGGATGTATGGGGATGTGTAGATATGCATCCTGAAGGTCTATGCTGGCCATGTAATCTGCTGGACGGACGAGTAGTCTGAGTTGTAGTAGGTGGATCATTCTGAACCTGTCTGGTTTCAGTAGATAGTCTTTGTTGAATTTGTGCATGTTGTAAATCAACCTGAACTTTTCTTTGGAGTTCTTTTTGGGTACTAGAATAATTGGGGAGTAGCGTGAGATGATGTTGATTTATTTTCTCTACCGCATTCTTGATAAGAAGTGAGTTGATGGCTTCTTGTAACTTGTCCGCCTGCTTGTCTGCATAATCGAAGACCATCGGACTGAGGGTTAACGGTGGTGTGGCCTTGAGCTGCACTCTGTATCCTTCTCGCAGTAATTGTGAGACGTAGTCGTCCTCTAGTATTCCCCAATTTGTCCAGTACCTTTGTAGACGTCCACCCACTGTCGATGGTTTTACAGGAACGGCTGGGGGTGGAAGACTCCGAACCCCAATATCAACGTCTAACTCCTCTGGATCCTCTGGGTGTGGGACCTCTCCCTGAGTTCCCTCTGTAGTTTCCGGATGGGCGATGAAAGGAACCTTTCCCGCCTTCTTCTCCTTAGCCTTCTGGATGCTGGAATATTTCGACTTACTGTTGTACTTCTGGGAAGTATGACGAATGACGTTGGCTAGAGTATCTATAGACTTAATCATCATGACTTCTCTTGAATCGTGAGTAGCTTCCTTAGCTGCATCGTCTATCTCGCCTCCGAAGATAGTAGGTGTCTCCCACGGAGCTCTAAGCAGCGGCTGGGTAAATCTGTCATTCCACGAACAAGATGCCAGTAGCCCTTGTCTCCGTAGCAAAGTGAGACCTGCCGATATAGATGCCAGATGGTCCGATAAAAAGTATTGGTCCTTCTTCTGAGTGAGCAGAGCTGATAGTATCATTCTGTCTTCTTCCGAACTGGGGTTCTGGAGCTTGTTAATCAATGCTTCATTGATTGCTCTAGATCTGGCTAAGCTGAAGAAGGATCTCCTTGTAGCAGTATCAGGTTGGGGTAACTTTTTATCTTCCACTTTGTATATCTTGTTCCGGGAGTCGTTGACTCACTTCATGTTAGCATCTAAATCCGGCGCCTTCATAAAGGGATCCATGTGATGTAACAGGAATTTCTTCACATTAAAGGATGGCAGATGCTGATCTCTGGAACTTGGTAGCTTTCTCTGTCTCTAGACACATCTCTCACATCTCTTCACGAACCTCTGTCTCTAGACACATCTCTTCACGAACCTCTGTCTCTAGACACATCTCTTCACGAACCTCTGTCTCTAGACACATCTCTTCACGAACCTCTGTCTCGTGAACCTCTCTTCGCGAACCTCTGTCTTGTGATAACTCTCTTCGCGAACATCTATCTTCGCGATCTGGCTACAGATGCTCTCCTCTGCGACGTAGATGAAGATGAAGTCTTCTTCTTACTTTGAACAGGTGTCAACTCCGTTGTTGCCGATCTCTTCTTCGCCCCCAACTGCCCCTGCAACGTACTCGACATAGCACCAGTATTATGAATTTCAGCCTTAGCAAGCAACATACGGTTAGAAGGCTGATCTCCAGATTTATCAGCCGTGACTTGTGATGACTTCCTCACCCGATCCATGGCACGTCTATAGATATAAGACAAATATTGATTAAATTGTAAATTTGATAAACCAACACAATATGTACAACGCAAGCTGGAAGAACATGGTTTAATGCACGAAGGGCATTGGGGGTGAGGATCAGCCACGGATAGCCTGTGCCTGCAACCACTGCAAGATTTCATGAAATGTAAACAAGTTACATTATGATGAAAAAAATGTCACAAATACAAATAATTTCTTCAATATTTTTACATATAATACAAAGTAATTACAGCCAAAACCATATACAGCGTAATTACAAAGAATAGGATCTAAATAAAAAGGATATAATATAAAGGGACTCGCCCAACCATCCGCTTGGGCGAAAAGTGAAAGAGTGACAAGTAAGGATGGTCACATGACTGTTTACGCGAGAAAAGGGAGGAAACTCATGGGTGAGTGTACTTTTACGTCCGCTTTGGGAACTTCAAAGGATTCAAGTGTTCCACTACCATTCGCATAGGAAAGGGAGATAAGCAAAAGATCATGAGTCAGGATAAGGAAAAATGTTTTCTTTTTTGGGAGAAAACCTTACACCAGTCAATCCACATGCATGAAGTGTTTCTGTCATGAAACGTAATGAAACCAAACCCATAGTTTGTCACTTTGCCATATATCCTGGGATCATTGCTTTTCAGTGGCTCTCTGTTGCTCGGGAAATAAAGTAAAAGAACACATTTTCCAACATTACACAACAATGAATTGTATGCCTTTTGGAAGGTGGTCATATGTATTCTGAACATAGTTCTAAATATAACATTTGCAACATTACATGATAAGGCAGATAACTCTTACCACAGGCAGTAGAGCAGTGTTTGGCTGTGCCTCAGAGCCATCTTGTCTGAGACTGAGAGATGACTGACTGACTGTGCAGTCAGCAGGGGAGATAACTCTCTGTACAGCCACAACTCGATGATCTTGGTCCAAAACCACTTGATGCACTTGGTAACCCTAAACGACAAGAGGGCATTACTCGAAGTATATATCGTGTATAAACTACCGGAAGTCAAGATGAAGAGAGTTCTGGAGTTAAAGGATATGTGTGTAGGTACCTGTTGCTGAAGGGAGCTGCTGTCTACAGCGGACATCCGTATAACCTGGGGTGCTTCTGCCGGCTGGATCGCTGAGTAGGAAGATATCCCATCACTTCCTGCAGCTGCCGCCACCTCGCGGTAGTCATCCACTGGGGATATCCTCTCATACGTGGAGTGTGCGGCCTGGTACACGTCTGCCTGCTGTCCGCTGTACTCCCCGGAGAACGTAGCTGAGGGTCGCATGGACTGGTAGTGTGTCTCCTCAAAATCAGGACCCTGGGAAGAGTACGTAGATCACAGATTGCAGCATCACAACAATATCTGAAATTCTATTAAATAAGGAGGAAAATATCTGATCCTGTGCCTACTTGTTTTCCTTCAACAAGATGACCCTCATCACCATGAACACTGACCATGTTTGAACAGCAGCTGATTAGTGAACAGGTAATATAATGTTTCTATTTATCAGGTGTTCAATAACGACAATACATCAATACATGCCCTTGCTCTTGCTAATCATAAAAATATGATTCCACTTGAATGTCAGTAATCAAGCACTCACACAAAACACTGCTTAGATCCAAGTCTGGACTTTCTACACACCGTGGTATGGCAGTCACAGTGCACCAATGTTTGGTAGTTACAGCGCACCGAGCTGTGGCAGATTGTAAGTCTACATGACTGACATACCACAAGGTTGGTAGTAGCTGGTTGTAAGTCTACATCACTGACACACCACATGGTTGTACCTGGTTGTAAGTCTACATCACTGACACACCACATGGTTGTACCTGCTGGTTGTAAGTCTGCATCATCACTGTACTGGTTGTAAGTCTACATCACTGACACATCACATGGACTGATCCTCTACCTGCTTGTAAGTCTACATCACTGACACACCACATGGTTGTACCTGGTTGTAAGTCTACATCACTGACACACCACATGGACTGATCTTGTACCTGGTTGTAAGTCTGCATCACTGACACACCACATGGACTGATCCTCTACCTGCTTGTAAGTCCACATCAGAAACATACCTGTACATGTCTATCACTGACACACCATATGGTTGTACCTGCTGGTTGTAAGTCTTATACCTGGATGTACTGATCCTGTAAGTCTACATCCTGACACACCACATGGTTGTACCTGCAGGTTGTAAGTCCACATCAGAGGTTGTAACATACCTGTACATGGTTATTATACTGAGCCTGCAGGTTGGTCTACATCAGAAACTGATCATGTGTACCTGTACCCAGTACATGGTTATAAGCCTGCATGGACTGATCCTGTACCTGGTTGTAAGTCCACATCAGAAACATACCTGTACATGGTTATAAGCCTGCATGGACTGATCCTGTACCTGGTTGTAAGTCCACATCAGAAACATACCTGTACATGGTTATAAGCCTGCATGGACTGATCCTGTACCTGGTTGTAAGTCCACATCAGAAACATACCTGTACATGGTTATAAGCCTGCATGGACTGATCCTGTACCTGGTTGTAAGTCTACATCAGAAACATACCTGTACATGGTTATAAGCCTGTCTACATGGACTGATCCTGACTGACCTGGTTGTAAGTCCACATCAGAAACATACCTGTACATGGTTATAAGCCTGCATGGACTGATCCTGTACCTGGTTGTAAGTCCACATCAGAAACATACCTGTACATGGTTATAAGCCTGCATGGACTGATCCTGTACATGGTTGTAAGTCCACATCAGAAACATACCTGTACATGGTTATAAGCCTGTATGGACTGATCCTGTAGCCCTGGTTGTACCTAAGTCTACATCAGAAACATACCTGTACATGGTTATAAGCCTGTATGGACTGATCCTGTACCTGGTTGTAAGTCTACATCAGAAACATACCTGTACATGGTTATAAGCCTGTATGGACTGATCCTGTACCTGGTTGTAAGTCTACATCAGAAACATACCTGTACATGGTTATAAGCCTGCATGGACTGATCCTGTACCTGGTTGTAAGTCCACATCAGAAACATACCTGTACATGGTTATAAGCCTGTATGGACTGTGCGTTGTTGTCATACTGCTGTGGTTGTTGCGGTGTCGGTGATGCTGGATTCATGGAGGATGAGGATGCCGTGACAAACTGACTCTGGTCTGGCTGTTCCCAGTTATGGTTACTGGCAGGACTTGGGGGGTCCTCCATCGTTGGTCAGCAGCTACTCTATTGGAAATAATAGTTTTACCTGGAATGACATGAAAAGAAACATTATAATGTAGTCACAACCACTGCAACGATGAATATGAATAATCAGTGTGAATTCACAGACTCTCTTACAGCATTCTTGTTTATATAGATTTCTGTGTCTTTGACATCATTCCTTGAGTGTGTCAGGATAACAGAAATAATATATCAGTCAGATATTTATGTTTCAAGGAGTAGAGATATGCCTCTGCTTCATGCAAGCCATGTACGATTACACTGTGTATATCTGTATTGAGAGTGGAAGAGTTTGCTGAAGATTATTACAGATGAGGAGAGAAGATTCCTGCAAGGGCCACACCTGCCAGGTGCATGTCACCACACCAGTAACCAGCAATATCTATATTTGTTTATAACAACCATCTCGGAACCACTTGCTGTCACAGTTAGTTTTGAGCCTGATTTCACTGTCACATTGCTGAAACTAGCCATCCAGGGAAATTATTCTCATGAGCAGAAACAGTCTTACTGAGGTTAGTGAACGAAGGAGATTGCAAATAACCACAAGGTTAATCATCAGTGTGAGGCTATATGTATTTTTATCATGCAAATCAGTGTTCTAAACTGGCATGGCTGCTTGTCAACCCAACAAAAACAAATACCTACATGAACCACTTTAATTTCTAACACAGCAAGTGTGAAGCCCATTTCTGGTGTCCCCCACCATGATATTGCTGGAATATTGCTAAAAGTGGCATAAAACTAAACTCACTCACTCACCAACAAGGCAAATTCCTAAAAGACCAGTAGGTAATATACATATGCCTCAATTGTGTATACTGTCACTTGGGTTTACAATGAAGCAGACGGTGGGGCAGCCTTGTGGTTAAACCCTTGGCTCGCCACGTCCAAGACCTGGGTTTGATTCCCCATATGGGTACAATATGTGAAGCACATTTCTGGTGTCCTCCGTCGTGATATTGCTGGAATATCGCTGAAAGCGGCATAAACTAAACTCACTCACTCACGCACCGCAATGAAGCTGGGCCCAGATTTACTATCAAAATCAACCCCTCAATGATCCAGTGCCATAGTCGATACATCAGGTTATACGCTAACCAGGCAAAATCAATAGAGATGACATTAAGTAAGTGACACAATTAAATTTTAATGTCACATGGGCAATTATAATATCAGCCATATGGTGACATGGAACTGAATATATTTACTAAATTTAGTTAGAATAAGAAGCCTGTCATTGATGGACATTATAATAAGTACATCATGACAGGAACAATATATTGTTCTTAGCAATTAAGAGAATGAATTATTAATCAAGAACAAAATATAAAAGCAGTTCCAGATCACCAGCAGCTGAAGGTAGATTGCCATACTAGGAACCATGGGGACTTACAGTACTTTTGGTTTAACTTTTGCTATTGACATGGACCCCAGCTGGATTTACAGGTCAGAAAACTTTAGAACAACATGTCTACTGATGATTACCTTGAAAATATTGCCATTTTGGCAGAAAGCAAAACAATAGATTTTTTTCCTTAATTTTCAACTTTGAACTTATGGTGACAGGTTCAATTAATAAAAATATAAAGGTGAAACACATGCACACAAAAGCCATTATGAGAAAGATGTAGTGTAAAACTAAAATAAAAGTGTAATGTGATGTTGTTAATAAGTTTAACTTCTGTATCTCTTGTTTGTAGGTATCGGTTAGTGTAATTAAATTCTTACTGACTTTCACCCCATGATATTAAATGGGCACATCCAACAGGGAAGCTGTCTCTGTCATTAAAGACAAGAGGGGGTATGGGTGGGAAGGTCCCATTGACAAAACATCTGTCAGTGCGGAAAGGTCACGGGCCTTTCACACACATTATTGGTCGCTGCAACCATTCACTGGCCTTAATACTTAGTTAATTGGCTATATGTGCTTACATGCCATGAAAGTAACAAGGATAGCATGATGGGAAGAACCTGTCAACAACCTAACGAACTTTTAAAAATCTGACTGTGATATGGAACAACGCTAAGACGAACATGGTGCACAATGCCACTTTGGGTCTAACTTGCTACCGCTGATATGGCCGACACGTCGAGCTTGCGATATAAATTATGCTAATGGCGACGAAGCCGCATTTTTATACAATATTCGATAAATCCTTACCACTATATTATTTAATCGAACTAAGATGGTATTGTCCGTCAAATTTGGAATCTTCTAAGCCCATTAGCGACCCCGCACCCCTTAGTTAGACTGATCCATAAAGGACGGACCCATTTCACGGCAAATAATGCAGTTTAGGAAGGTACCACCATCGTCGGCCCGAGTGGGTGGGGGGCAAGTTGACCTCGATTTCCTCTCTCAGTTTTTCGGACAAAAGACACACTTCTGGGCATTAAACCAACATAAAACTTTCAAAGGGTTATAGCACATGCTCTTTCGTTTCTTTAGCAACGTATTTTACACAATTCTCCAAAAGAAATAGAAAATTTACAAGAAATATCGTTGTATGAAAATTGACCTACCTCCCGATTGTCTCAAATCTCGTTTCCTCTCGTGGCTCTACCACGTGATCACTGACGCCATGAAAATAAGTGGGTTCCTTGAAAATGGTTATTCTTGATCTGACTGAACCAAGAATCAAGTTAATAATAATCATGCACAAAACCTAATAGTTCTTGTTATTGAGAAATAACTTTTAGTGAACCCCAAGAGATGTTCTGAAGTCGAGTTGCATGCATGTTAACATGACCAATTGTGTACCTTGTCGTATGTACGCGTTCCTTTCTCACTGTATTGGAAACATCAGACGTAATATTTAAAGCGCAGCTACAGTGACTACAAACGATTCAGAACACAAGGATTGTCAACCCACGATACTTAAATTCAGTGCTCTCTCTCTATACATTGTCACTGGAAGAGCGCTTAATGTCAAATGCCTTTGCCTCACTCACTTACTGCTGCCAAATATTACATCTGAATGCTGCTTTCTCAGTAAAAAACAGCAAGAACTCTTAGATAATCTTTTAAGACAAATCAAGAAAACTAGAAATTGACCATTAAATGTATTATTATGTTTATTCATCACAAATGTAAACACCCACATGGTTATGTTGATGTTTATATCTCTTTGCTCTGATATGTAATGAACGGACTAAAATAAACATAATTTCCACTCCACATGCAGAATAATTAACGAGGTTTTCTTCCCGATGATGTTTTTTGCCCTTAACCTTGAAAAGCTGCAGGCCCTAAGGACCCAGAACCATAAAAGGTTGTCAGTCTTGATCAGAATGTGTAGGCCCTATTTTAGCTACAATATAATAAAAACTGTGTAAATAAAAACTGTGACAACTAACAAACCGAGTTAAAGAGTTCAATTTTAATATATAGTGACTGACTAGTCTTTTCAATGTATTAGGATAACCTGTTCGTGGTTAAATGATCATATCTCAGTAATCTAAATTTGCTTCCTCGAAAATGATAGTCGTTTCACTTACTGACAACAGCTGCTGATCGAGATAAAAATTAAAAACTACTGCATACTATTTTATAATAAATAATATTCTTAGTTATTGGCGATGTAAAAGCTGTCGACCATAAGGACCTACAGAAAACAAAAGCTGTTTGCCCGAATGGTTTTCTGTCGGCTTCGGGCCTAATGACCGACGTTAATATTGAACGCTGGATGCGAAAGAATCATATCGTAACAGTTATACGGAGTTGTGGGGCATCTATTAAGTATTATAATGAACTCTGCGCCCGAATTGCAAGTACATTGTACTACATAGTCGCACCCTGCGTGAAATCTTCCACACGAGTAGAGATTAAATCTGAACACTTTTGAAAGTAAACAGTTATTTTAATGCTCATCATCAATTAGAGTAAGGGGCTAACGTTCAGTGACTGAATTTGGCTTTACCCCGCTTTAGAAATGGGCAACACACACCAGTAGTATCTATCACTGGCAAATAATGGAGAATCGAAGGTTAATATCAAAGACGTTTAAAAGTTGCAAAATAATATATCTGACTCATTTCACTTTCATTTATGATTTACAGAAATGTTGTTGTGTTTTACCTTGGAAATAGACACCGATATAAAGTTAGCTAACGTACTGCTTCACTTGACGCGTTGAGAGATGTATATACTTCGTTTCGTTTAAATTACTTGGGTTCTTTTAATATAACCCATGTTGTTTAGACATGGCGGCTCGGTCGAGCAAGTGAACGACTTGCGACGGAACGTCTTGAAGTATCTGCAATGGATGGTGACATTCACAAATCTGGTCTTTATAAATGGAAAAGGCAAACCCCAAAGTCCTCTTCAAGAGTGTATTCTCGCTCACAGGTACCATGCAATATACAATCTCCATTCAAAATATTATTGTTAAACCTGTTTTACTACTAGTAGTACTACGGTATGCGGTAGTCGTCCTCGGTCTAGGAGTATTGACAGTTTGTTGATCATGGTCTAACTACCTGAGTGCAAACACAAAATCTGATTATCAGCTGATTATCGTTTTCAGTATTTAAAAAAAGTGAGCGATGCCATTATTGCCATTTTGATGTAGATAATCTGTAAATGAAAATAAATTATCTGTATCTATATCCGCTGACCTCGTATTTTTCAGAACTGCAAAACCCAGAATGACATTCAGGACTGGATAAAAGTAAGGTTGTTTTTGTTTTTTTGTTTTTTGTATGTGAAATATTGTAATATATCCATGTCATGAACAATGATGATAATTGACGTTAGGTAGTGTTTAAAACATCATTGATCCTTTACAAGTTTTGCACACATTTTGTTGCCCAATCATCTGCAAATATACACAGCAGCAAAATATTTGACATCCATCCACTAAGAAAAGGTGCTGAACTTACTGGACATTTTAATGTACACACGTTTAGCGACATAGCATAGATATACAACTTTAACCATTTGCTTACCATGTTTTACAGCAGGTTTCCAACATTTAATTATCAATTTACACACTGCTCCTGATACTCTAGGTAGTGGGGTAGGCTGTCTGTTAACCCTGATACTTGGGGTGGTGGGTAGTCAGGGTTTAGTCTCTATTCGCCTACATCTCAATTTGCCTACATCCCATTTCGCATACAAAATCAATGTATGCTAATTGGGATTGAAAATGCACCTCTACTCTTATAATGAACCTGACTCACTGGTCAGTGCCAGAATTACAGTTTAACTAAAATTACAGTTAAATGTAAACTAGAAGATGCGAAGTGTGGTTGTCTACGGTAGAACATTCATCATAAGGTATCTTATATACCTCCTTATCTAATTTAGATTTAAGGTTGAGAAAATATTTGGATATTTTAAATGATAATGGTTCAAAGGCATTGTTACGTTATGAAACAGCAAATCATAACTTACCCATTGAAACAGGCCACTGGAGCAATATTAAAAAACGTGATAGAATATGTAAACTTTGAAATGGTTAGGACATTGGCGATGGATTTATTTATTTGTTCTCACTTTATAAATGCAAGAGTTAAATATTTAAATCCATATTTTTGTGAGTTGAAATAAAGTTCAGTTCAGTTAAAAATAAAATGAACGGGATTAATTGTAAAAGCAATGATGATATGTAGTTGAGTAAAGAGGATTGGTGCATCCACTAAGAAGTTCAAACAAGGTTATAATAATATAATATAATTAGTTCTCTGCTACTAATAGGCTTTAAACCAACTTAACCATATAAAATGGAGCATTCGCCAAGCACTGACAGTCACAATGGCTAACGTGCGAAGGGCAGAGTTTATCTTGTCTCAGAGAGGAGGAAGACAGGTACTACATGATGGCCACAAGTATCGACTGAATGTTGTGAGACAAGTAGCCACACACTGGAAGTGCGTCATAGATAAATGTAAAGGTTAGTGAAGTACCATTGGCGACCACAGATCTTCCCGAAACAGAAGACCCTCCTCTGATGATAGAAGAAGAGACTCCTCACCAGACTGAGACAAGGTGCTCGTGATGAAGTGAGAATGGACATCTGCACAAGTAAACTTCCTTAACACTAATGTGATATGATGTGAATATCATTGTGATCGGTAAATGACAAATAACAGAGTAAATAAACAACAGACAAATAACAGAAATAAATTCTTAAAAAATGTCTTTTTGTCCTTCAACTACTTCAACTAGAAGAGTCTACTTTTAGATCATAGGGGTGCCACAAGTTTACCATTGCGTAATCAACAGTCAACAGACCATGAAATGTTGTTTTAAGACTGTAGGCGAATTGGGATTGTAAGCGAAATGAGAACATGCTGTAGTCAGTCTGTTAACTCTGATACTTGGGGTGGTGATGTAGTCCGTCTGTTAACCGTGATACTTGGGGGGGTGGAGTGGTCTCGTCAGGCTGAAAGCCGGAATTGATTTCACATATGGGTGCATGATTTTGATGTTGCTGAAATAAATCTCTAAGTGACACAAAAAGCAGCTCACTCAGACACTTGTGATACAATTACTTCAACATTTTGATTTAGAAAGTGGAGCAAGCCTCAGATATAGCAACAGAGACTGTCTTTGGACTGAACCATTACTCTGGAAGGGAGAGAGGGAAGTATGCCGCTCAGCAAACAAGACAACATGTGCAAGAACATGATTCAGCTCTGACTGAAGGTGAGGATACTTGTTACTATCCAAATCTGCCATGATGCAAAGGAACAATCATTTGTGTTCAAACATGGTCAACAAGATAGATAATATTCTGGTAAAATGAGAATTCATGTTCGTTGGCCATGTATAATAGATCTGATAATTTTGATGAATGACAAATGATTGATGATGAGGAAATATTAACTAACTATTTTTATCCCCTTGTCAGGGAATATAGTAATTAGTTTGTTTGTCCATTCATCTGTCTGTCTCTCGGTAATGATTTTGTCTTCAGACCATATCTCTAAGAGTAATCGGTTTTCTTTCATGAAACTACACACACAAAGACCAGGTTGTCAACTGATGCCTTTTGATGTTTAGAGATTTTTAGAAAATGAATTCTGTTTCCATGGCAAAACTCTGACTCTGTTAATGGTAATGTGTTTGTCTGGACCATATCTTTAAAAGTAATAGGTAGACTTTCATGAAGGTAGACACACACAACTGGTGCCTATTTTGGGATTTGTAGAATTGTTAGTTTTTCTATTTGCATGGAACCCATGAAGATCTGGGTTAAGATTGATCTTCAGTAACCCATGCTTGTCGTAAGAGGCGACTAAAGGGATCATGTGGTCAGGCTCACGGACTTGGTTGACGCATGTCATTGTATCCCATTTGCTTAGGTTGATGCTCATGCTGCTGATGACTGGATTGCCTGGTCTAAACTCGATTATTTACAGACCTCTGCCATATGGCTGGAATATTGCTGAGTGTGGTGTAAAACTAAACTCACTCACTCTATTTGCATGGCAATAAATTTGACTTGAGTTGAGTTCATAGTTGCCAGAGCATATCTCCTTGACTGTTTTCCTCTATATGTAGATACAGTGACCAACGCTGTAAACTAGTGATTATATTTCTTGACATTTATTGTGCGATCCACTAACACCGGGATACATGGACACATTTCTGAATCCCAGTTAATTATCATTACTACTCTTGTATACAGACTGACAGATGTGACAGGAATACTTTCATAAAGATGCCTCTCGTTAGACTTGTTGTAACAATTTGTTCTTTAGAAATTGTGGATGGCCTGGGAGATATGTCATCTTCTGATGACTCTTGTTCAAAATGTATCATTATTAATGCATTATTAGCATACACAGTGACTGACAAATGTATCTGTCATGGTTGCTGATACTGAGAACTGACTCGTTAGATGATTCCAATTCTACATGTTTAGTACTTTGTTTTGTAGCTCAAGAGTTGCTAAGCGACTGGATGCAACAGAAACTTCATGTGGATGATGGTGATGGTGATGATGATAATAACGACCCTTGGCATCAGAGGGCAGTGCAGGCAGAGGTCAAGAGGGAATGGGATCATCTCCTTGACAACAGTGTCAATGACTGGCAGCTGGAGGTCACACCAAGGTCAAGGGTCAAAATACCAAATAGAGGTACACTAGAGTATCATCAGCAGTAAATTTTATCTGTAATGAGGTGTCATTTGGAAAACCAATGTAAGCAAACTGAAGCACAATGAGCTGTACTAAATGATTTTCATGGCAGCATCCAGACAAGATTGGTTCAAGTAAGACATGTCATACTGTATCAATGTAAGTGCTTGCACGATGAGAGAAACCTTTCAAAATTTCCCACTAGACCACAGGACCAGTGAGTGGACAATAATAAGTGGTCCTGTCTATACTTCATTGGTCCAAAATAACATTCGTAGATTTTCTTAACTATCAATACAACATTCACTGGCCACCAGGACAACTGCAAACTTTTCATTTAGTGGTCCTGATGTATTTTTACTAGCCAGGGACCACAGGACCAGCATCAATTTCACACACTGCTTGCATGTACACACACGATTACCAAAAATAGCAGTTTGTGGAATTGTTCAGTTTTCAGTACATGTGCTCTCTTTCAGTAGCATTTAAGTAGATATGAATCCATGAAGTAGCAGAACATTTCTACCAGGAAACATCCATGACATCTTGTCCACCATCAGACATCACTGGTCCAAGAGATGTATTGGAGTGAAGTGATATAAGTTGTTACAGACGCTTTTATAGGAAAAAATAATGTATGAAATTATTTATTTGTTCTTTTCCTGACTCATGATCTCTTGCTTATCTCCCTTTCCTATGCGAATGGTAGTGGAACACTTGAATCCTTTGAAGTTCCCAAAGCGGACGTAAAAGTACACTCACCCAAGAGTTACCTCCCTTTTCCCGCGTAAACAGTCATGTGACCATCCTTACTTGTCACTCTCCCCCTTTTTGCCCAAGCGGATGGTTAGGCGAGCACTGGAGTCCCGTATGCGGCATTATATCCTTTTTAATTTAGATCCTAATCTTAAAAATTACGTTGTGTATAGATTTGGCTATAATTACTCTGTATTATATGTAAAAATTTGTAAAAAATTATTTGTATTTGTGTCATAATTTCATCGTAATGTAACTTGTTTACATTTCATGAAATCTTGCAGTGTTAGCAGGCACAGGTTATCCGTGGCTGATCCTCACCCTCAATGCCCTTCATGCATCAAACAATGTTCTTCCAGCTTGCGCTGTACTTATTGTGTTGATTTATCAAATTTACAATTTAATCAATATTTTTCTTATATCTGGATGGATCGGGTGAGCCATGGATCGGGTGAGGAAGTCATCACAAGTCACGGCTGATAAATCAGGAGATCAACCTGCAAACTGTATATTGCTTGCTAAGGCTGAAATTCATAATACTGGTGCTATGTTGAGTACGTTTCAGGGGCAGTCGTCTGGTATGGGGGCGAAGAAGAGATCGGCTACAACGCAGTTGACACCGGCTCAAAGTAAGAAGTAGACGTTTTTGATGATCCCCATAACTTCTACCTGAAGTACCTACGAGATCGTCGACTCAATCGACTTCCACAACTACTAGATCGTCTCCTGCAACTGCCACAGCAGGCCAGCTGTTTGACGAACTAACGGTTCCACAAAGGCGCTGAGTTGGGAAATCTCACCCTTTATCACGTTGACTTGTTGATAACTTTTACTAAGGAAAAGTATTAGTTTGAAAGTCCATGCGCACAGTCTAAGACAGACTAGCATGAGTGATTAAAGACCCTGTACAGGTAAAGATCTTACCGGTACATGAAGGGGTCGCAACTCATTTATGATAAAGATCTTATCATAATCTATGGGTTGTTATAGATATCTAGTAAAAAGAAGATACTAGTATATCTTAAGCCACCTGAATCAAGATGATTCAACTTGTCTGAGATGGAAGTAACACAAGAAAGTGGTCCACGCAAAGGAACCTCTCATCTGCTGACAACGTGCGCAAACCTACAGGCCTGCGCGAACCCACGGACCTGCGCGAACCTACTCCTCAGAGAACTACGTCTCAAGACTACGTTGGCGAACGTATACCTTTGCGAAGGTCTCCACAATCTGACAACTCTGTCATCTTGGAGGAGGATAGAAGACATGAGATGCCTACTCACTCTTCAACATCTGTGAACCCTCAACGTTCAAGAACACCTAAGGATCCATCTCCTACACCAAGCCGCTCTAGATCGGGATCTCATATCTCTCACAGACGTTCGAGGAGTCACTCATCATGAGACAGAGGTTCGTGAAGAGGAAGTTCATGTCACAGAGGTTCGCGAAGAGGAAGCTCTTGTCACAGAGGATCGCTAAGAGAGGACTCTCAAGATAAATGGTCGCAAAGTGAGGAATCTACAGATAGAGGGTCGAGAAGGCAGGGTTCGCGAAAGAAAGGTTTGCGAGAGGAAGTTTAGAGAAGAGGCAACGCAGATATCTACAATAATGTAAACATCTACAAGGATCATGAACCCTAGGATTCCCAAACCCTCAGATCAACAAGCAGATATCAGCAACGCAGACATCTCCAAGGTTCGCGAACTCTCAGATTTACAGGCAGATATCAGCAACGCAGACATCTCCAAGGTTCGCGAACTCTCAGATCTACAGGCAGATATCAGCAACGCAGACATCCACAGGGTTCGCGAACCCTAGGGTTAACGAACCCTTAGATCAACAGGCAGGATGTTGACGTTAACTCTATTACCATATGGCTGAATAAAACGAAGCAATGATGAAAACGGTTGGTTTTGTCAGAGTTTATAGCTCAACAAAATGATCTACAACATGTGCGATCTCTACAGTTTACAGCCTGCACAACTCTACAACCTGCACAAACCTTATACTGTATAGGTTCAGTTTCGGACTACAACCTACTTGATGAAAGGAATCACTTCATCTATATGGATGCTGAGGTCTTATACCGGGTAGCAGATGGCCTGTGGATATTGTCGTTCACTCACTCACTCTAACCCAACAGAGACGTACTGCATATACGCTGATGACTTCGACTCCAATATGATATCACCTATGAAGCCGATATCTCAAGTACTGGAGAACCTCAAGGCGACCTTTGTAAAGGGCTTAAGGTTAACAACGCCTTCAAGAATACTTGAACGGACGTACAGATGATATTATTAACTCTCATCACTCAACGTGGGGATTAGGATTTTATATCCTATCAACTAGATTCAACATCGGTATTTCTTCAAGATCCATACAGACATACGTCTCGACAGCCTCCTTCGTCATGCTGGCTTATATTATCCACAATGGGAATACGTGATTAATATCACTGAACAAGATTTTACACTTGGAGCAACCCTTATTCAAGAGGTTTATATGAACGGCGTAGAATTGCACACGCTTTTACTCAACCAACTATTTGCACCAGATTTTATGGAGGCCAACTTGCTACAACACCGGTGACGTCATGCTTAAAGCTGATTGGTCCACGTCAGACAACGCCTCCCACTGACAGAGCAGGCACCAGCAAGTTTACTGAGTTGTAAACAAACCCGTGATACGGGGAATACTTCATCTGCAGCCTTGGAAACAGTATACAACTACGGCCTGTTATCATCATGGGAATCTAATGTCTAGCCTTGACAGCAGATAAACGATGTTTATTTTGGAAGTTGTCGCTGATAAAAGTCGGTATGAATACCTGTCCCCTGCGATGCTACACTGGAGCCAGCCTTGCTATAAACAGACAACGCTTCGATGTATGCTGATCAACACAGATCGCCTGCGTATATAAGGGGAAGAATGATGTATCATCACTGCAATCAGAGGTTAGCATTTCCAATGGAACGTCCTACCGTTTGGAATATCGGCTCTATGATTATTCATACGAATAACCAAGCCTATCGGCACCTATCTGCAACATCGAGGTCTACACAGTGCTGGTTATCTGGACGACAGCATACAGGTTCTTCAAAGTGCTAATCAACTCAGACAGCAGCTGAACTTCACAATTAAGTTGCTCACGCTACTAGGATGGCTAGTGAACCTGATGAAGTTGGAGTTAGAATCAAACAAGATCTTCAATTGCTGGGAATAAGAATTATCACAACACAGAATAGACTTAGGGTCCCAGAAGATCATTGGGTCAAGATACAAGCCATGATTCCACAAGCAGTCATCTCTCCGTTAACACTACGAACATGGCAATGTCTACTTGGTCTACTAACCTGGGCACAGGACTTGACTCACACTGGAAGGTTACAACTAAGGCTGCTGCAACGGTTCCTGACAAAACATCTGGACAGACTAGCATGAGTGATTAAAGACCCTGTACGGGTAAAGATCTCTCTGTACATTAAGGGGTCGCAACTCATTTATGATAAAGACCTTATCATAATCTATGGGTTGTTATAGATATCTAGTAAAAAGAAGATACTAGTATATCTTAAGCCACATGAATCAAGATGATTCAACTTGTCTGAGATGGAAGTAACACAAGAAAGTGGTCCCCCCGTGTTATAACGGAAGTTGGAAGAATAGGATCTCGGAAATGCCGCTACACAGTTCCCATGGGGGGAATACAGGATGTATCTAAGGACAGCTGATGAATCCAGGAAGTGGCCTGACCCACCATCAATCCGCAGGATTCTATAAGCAAAAGATCATGAGTCAGGATAAGTATAAAAATAGCAGTTTTACTTTAAAAATTACATAATTTTTCAAGTAAAATTGATATTTTATGCTTATCCTGACTCATGAGATCAAGCCCTCCCAACCTCCCCGCTGGAAACACTTCAGATTGCACAGTAGATCCAGGTGCTTGGGCAGAAAAATCAGGAGAGAGTGACAAGTAAGGCTGGTCACATGACTGTTTACGCGGGAAAAGGGAGGTAACTCTTGGGTGAGTGTATTTTTACGTCTGCTTCGGGAACTTCAAGGGATTCAAGTGTTCCACTACCATTCGCAAGGGAAAGGGAGATAAGCAAAATATCATGAGTCAGGATCAGTATAAAATATCAATTTTACTTGAAAAATTACATTTTTTTAAAACAACACTGAAAAATGATGTTTTAATTTCATGTTAATAAATTCAACAAGACTGATGATGATATTCT